TCTTGGTAAAAATGGCTTTACATTGAAATGGACGACACAGGGCGAAATAACGGTTTACGGCGATGACGGACATGTTGACTTGAGAGACTATACCAAAAGTAAAAATGAAGAAGCCATGCATATCACACACTGACGAGCTAAATGGCCATTTGCCAGAAATTAGCACGTGTAAAGAAATAGGCATGCAAACAATGGCCATCAGAATATCACTCACTGCTAAATTCGTTATAAACATGTTTGGAATCGTGCGGAGATGAGCTTTTTTGAAGACAGCGATGCACACCAAAACATTGCCTACAAATGCTAAAAGAATGAGACAAACGAGGATTGCTGCTTCTGTTATCTTTACTGGAGTACTGCGGCCAGACAGCTCCACGATCAACTATGGGTATTCGTCCAATGAAGCACCCATTTCCTGTTTTTCCGTAAGGCAATCGGGCGCTCAGTTTTATTCTCGAGGATTCAACCGCAAATAAAACAAGTGCGCCGTAAAATATAAGAAATTTATGGCCGTATTCCGCGAGCAGACTCAATTAACATTGAAATTGGAAACCTAAAGATGCTAGAAAGTTAGCTTAGTTAGAGTAGGCCAGTTTTTGGATATATTATATCAGATTTTTCTATTTAATTTCTTTCTTTTTTTTTTGAAAGCACCCAACTCTTTCCTCCAAAAATTAAGTATTGAAATGTGGATTACTTTGCAATGGCTTGAAGTTTATTGGTTAAAAGTTAATTGATTTAAGTAAATTATAAGACTAATATGTATATAAACGGAAGCTTCGCTTTTAGGCTTAGATGCATCTTTGGCATTGTCTCGCAATTCCCAGAAGAGACTTGAGCACAAAGAAAACCAAGCCAAATATAAAAAAATTGCCAGAAAGCTTTGAGGTCATGTTAGAATTTTAATATAATCGGACGTGGGCCGCCTTCACGCACAAAATTATGAATGCTTTTACTGAGAAAAAAAAAAAGATGTATACGAAGCCTAATGATAACTGCAGTAGCCAACTCGAAAGCTTGGCTCTTTTGGCTGCTAAACACATTTTTACTTTCTTATGTTGAATTCAATGTAAAGTTAGCTTTGTTTTTACTTCTTTTTTCTTATTGTCGTTGTATTGTAATTGAATGAGTGTGAATAAATGAACTTGAACTTCAACTTAAGACTGGATGAAATAGCGACTGAACGACTTAAAGATGGATTAAAATACGGACAGGGAAATGGCCTACCCTCTCAAAACGCGAGACGACCGTATTTGATATTTAGACTAGGAACATACTTACCCCTCCCCCTTAAGAGGGCCTCTCCAGTAAAAGACGTAACGTACCTTTGGCAAATTATTTCTAGCTCGCGAACGCTATCTGGTGAAATGTTTTTTATGATTATTAATTTTCTTTTTATTTTTAAGGGATTTAATTTTAAGCTGCCCAAAAATACCGTAAAATTCCGAAAATAAGCCCCGGGGCTTATATTTTTCAAAAGCCCTTTTTGAGGGACTTATTTTTGGAGGGGCGTATAATCGGAGGGGCTTATCTACTGAGGGAAATTTGCGTTTCAAAATCGATTGGGCTAGCCTTATAGTTGGAAGGAAATTTGACGTTTTTGCTTTGCTTTACTTTGTATTTGAGGGCAATTTCCGAGTAGAAGCCCCCGGGGGGGGGGCTTATATTTGCAGGGGCGATTTAACGGAGGGGTTTTGCGTTAAGAGTTTGGGGTGCTTATATTTGGAGGGGCTTTTACATGGAGGGGCTTATTTTCGAAATTTTACGGTATTTTCCCCAAAACTGGGGTTAAAATCAAATGTGACTTTTTGGGTGCTCTGGTTCTGGTTATGTATAAATACAAATACAAAAAAACATTTGTTATTGGCTCTACACAGAGGGACTTAATTACAATAAATTACAATAAGATCTAAACCTACAGTAATATTAATAATGATAAAAAAAAAAAAAAACCAAATCAAATTGAATCAAATATGAAGTAATTTGCTTACAGGCACTTTTCTGATCAGAAGTCTCTTAGAGAAGATTTTAACTGTGAAAGGGAGGACGAATTGCGAATGTTGCTCGGCAAAAGGTTGTTTAATTCTATAGCACAGCAAGCGCATACAGTTTCATATGCTAAAGTGTTTATGTGGGCAGTTCAATTAAAAAATCAAAAAAAGTGTCAACTGTTTTAATTGTACCTCCGCTAATTTGTCACCGGCTTTTATAATGTCAACATGATATGACGATTCGTATGTTTTGGGGGTTATTACAATCTTAAAATGTGTCAACTGGTTTATGTTCTTGCGATAATATAATTGTCAAAGGTTATGGCTTGTAGGCATCACCTGGAAATTCAATTAGAAGGTTAAAACGACATTGTAACCAGGGTTGTACTGTTAAGAAAAATCAACCATGATGGAAATCCATCAGAGTGGCCTGATTTTGCCAAAAGCTTACCATACAAGTGCATCACTTATTTACACCGTCAATTTGAAACCATAATCCTAGCGTAGTCTACTAAAGACCTTAAGCAAATTCTCGCAATACTGCGCCTTCGTGGATCTTCCCTGATTTTCTGGCAAAAGTTATCGTCAAAAAGTTCCCCTAAGTAACCCTAAAATGGAACGGGAATATCTCGTGTAAAAGGAAATTTCCTTAGATTATGTTTTGTTGCTTAGCTGAGTATGATTCATTTCCATCGAAAGTCAATAGTTAATTGCGCCGCATTATGTTCATTTAAAGCTCGCGACCTTACCTGCAGTCCAATACCCGCGACCAACTGGCTGATCTGCGAGTTTTAGGCCCGATGAAAAGAAACAGCTTATTTTGCGAAACGAAACGAAACAAAATATATGGGGAGGGAGAAAAAATGCTTATTATCATAAACACAGTTTAGGACAACATTGACAATGTGTTGGAAGTAATAGCTGAGGATACTGAAGGATTCTTACCATTTTCGCAAAGTAGTAATTTCACTGGAATTACTATTTTGCGAAATGGCGTCTTTTTACCTTTGTCCTTTTCGTCTGAAACAAATTGTGTCCACCAATAAAATGATTAATATTTCGAACAATCTGGGCACCTGTCGATTTATTGACAGTGCTCGAACTCATTTCGCAAAGTAGTAATTTTGCCAGAATTACTATTTTGCGAAATGTCGTTTCAGCCACCTTTATTTAGCAACATTATGTCCTTTTCGTCTGAAACAAATTGTGTCCACCAGTGAAATGATTAATATTTTGAAGAGTCTGGGCACCTCTCATTTTATTGACCGTATGAGAACTCATTTCAAAAAGTAGTAATTTTGTCAGAATTACTATTCAGCGAAGAGAGCTGTTTGTACCAGTTAGTATCCAAAAAGTTAACAAAACTCAACTAACTAATTTTGAATGTATTATGCGATACGTATAGTAGGATGTTATTTTTATCAAGCCAGTAACGTTTTTGAGATAGATTATTCCGCTTGGTTTTATCACCGGCATCCACTATGAACATCTACGTAATGCCTTTATTATTACCATAACTATCCAAACTGGTGACGCGTAATACATTTCATTCCCTTACTGCAATTACTGCAATTACATAGTTACGTAAATTAGTGTAACACGTGATGCAATTGTACTGTTGCACAGTAGAATTAAATCTACTTACTACTAGTGTTGTATACTCGGTATAGGTTGTAACTTTGATTGCTATAAATAAAGTCAATTCACAAAGGCAATGAAGGGTGTCGCTTGGACGCGTCAGTACTTATATTATTTGGGACAGTACAGGCACCTTAGAACGAGAAGATATTGACCATTTCAAAAAAATAAAATAACCAACGATTTAGAGGTAGCACGCCCACAAAGTGGTTCTTCGTCTATCTGATTCCTGGTCGAATAGGAACTTGGAAATGTTGGTTTTTGAGGAGAGGGAAGAACAGAAGAAAAACCTCTCGGAGCAAATGAGAGAACCAACAACAAACTCTACACACGTATGGAGTCGACGCAAGGATTTGCGGAACCCAGGCCAGATTGGTGGGAGACGAGCGTCCTCGCCACTGCGGCATCCCTTGCTCCCCATTTTTGACGTAAAATCGCCAAATTTGCCAATTTTAGCATAGAACAGGTTTGTGAACTAAAATTTTTTACGTTAGAACGATTTTCTGTAAATACAACTGGGCACGTGCGTAAGATGGGACAATTTAAATCAAAACAGATCAATTTCTGGGTTTTAAAGTTTTTTTTTCACTCGTTCCAAATGATATATATCACATCTTGCGCAATTGTTTTACACGTATTTTCGATAAATTCTGTCCAAATATGTCGTTATCTCGGTTTGCTCGATCACATACCGACAACAAACCTTCGCTAGCCTGGAGCACGGGGCACTTTCCTAGCTTTTTTTGTATTTTGATCAACAGCTCGTGAAAGCACTTTATTTCTGTCGGGAATAATCTTCGACATATTCATTAAAGTGGATTGGTTGTGAAACACCATTACACTCCTTTGATAGATGACTCACTGTTTTTGTTAAATTTGTTTGGACCTGATGGTGCAAAAAGTTCAATGGCATTCCTACCTTTTTTTAATTTACTGACCAATAGAAACATCGCAATAACTTATTCACCAAAATTTGCGAATTAAAAAACCATACGATTTTGATGATGTTTGCCGGCTCTCATAACTAGTCTCCTACACAGACCGCAGCAGAAGTAAATGAGTAAGAGCGAAGACTGAAACCCACTGAGACGGAAGTAAATATTGAGGATTGAGGATTAGGATTGTGCATCAAGCCCTCTCGGCCAATCCGCGTAGTCTGATGTTCGATATGTGTTGACGAGCTGTTCCTATAGTTACCGTGCCCTTGCGGTTCATACTACATCGTGTGGCTTTTCACTTCCGGACGAAAAGCTATCAGGGATAATGTAGAAACAATGAAGACTCAAATTTAGCATATTTCAATATTGTTCTTTGCAAATGTATAATGTACACTGTAAGTGCAATTATGCTGCACATTTGCTTGCATGTTTTTTAGTCCAGTGATTGAACAGCGGTGCCTTTGCATGCTGTGTGGCAACCGTCTCCCGCCATTATCTCATTCCTTTTAATTCCAAAAGGAATTACTTTCCGGAATGCTTTTCTGAAGTCGCGGTTTGACAGGCAATAGATGAACGGATTGATCGTGCTTGAGAAGAAGATGAGGAAGCCATTCAGCATGAACACTTGGCGTGGTAAATTTTCGCCTCCTCTGGACGTTTCTATGAAGTCAATGACAGATACTGGTAACCAACACATACTGAAACCCAGAGTGGAAAACAGCATTGTCCAGGTGGCGCGAACTTCGCGCGCTTTTCTGGACCCTTGACCAACAGAACCTGGGTCGTCAGACATTTCAGCGATTTGACGGTTGTTTGATTTGATGGCAAGGATGCACCTCGTGTAACTGAACACGATGAGTCCCATTGGGAATGCGATAAAGAGAATTTGGACTATCATCGCGTAGATCATGTTAACGTGGAACGGGTAGCTACACAACGCTTTGCCAGGGTGAAAGGCGTAATATCCCCAGCCAACCAGAGGTGGGACGCTTGCAACGCTTGGTAAGATCCAAAGAATCGCGATCATGGAGAGGACATTTATCTTGGTAAAAATGGCTTTACATTGAAATGGACGACACAGGGCGAAATAACGGTTTACGGCGATGACGGACATGTTGACTTGCGAGACTATACCAAAAGTAAAAATGAAAAAGCCATGCATATCACAGACTGACGAGCTAAACGGCCATTTGCCAGAAATTAGCACGTGTAAAGAAATAGGCATGCACACGATGGCCATCAGAATATCACTCACTGCTAAATTCATTATAAACATGTTTGGAATCGTGCGGAGATGTGCTTTTTTGAAGACAGCTATGCACACCAAAACATTGCCTACAAAGGCTAAAAGAATGAGACAAACGAGGATCGCTGCTTCTGTTATCTTTACTGGAGTACTGCGGCCAGACAGCTCCACGATCAACTTTGGGTATTCGTCCAATGAAGCACCCATTTCCTGTTTTTCTGTAAGGCAATCGGGCGCTCAGTTTTATTCTCGAGGATTCAACTGCAAATAAAACAAGTGCGCCGTAAAATATAAGAAATTTATGGCCGTATTCCGCGAGGAGACTCAATTGACGTTGAAATTGGAGGTCTAAAGACGCTAGAAAGTTAGCTTAGTTACAGTAGGCCAGTTTTTGGATATATTATATCCGATTTTTCTATTTAATTTCTTCCTTTTTTTTTGAAAGCACCCAACCCTTTCTTCCAAAAGTTAAGTATAGAAATGTGGATTACTTTGCAATGGCTTGAACTTTATTAATTAAAAGTTAATTGATTTAACTAAATTAAAACTAATATATAAACGGAAGATTCGCTTTTAGGCTTAGATGCATCTTTGGCATTGTCTCGCAATTCCCAGAAGAGACTTGAGCACAAAGAAAACCAAACCAAATATAAAAAAAATGGCCAGAAAGCTTCGAGGTCACGTTAGAATTTTAATATAATCGGACGTGGGCCGCCTGCACGCACAAAATTATGAATGCTTTTACTGAGAAAAAAAAAAGATGTATTCGAAGCCTAATGATAACTGCAGTAGCCAACTCGAAAGCTTGGCTCTTTTGGCTGCTAAACACTTTTTTACTTTCTTATGTTGAATTCAATGTAAAGTTAGCTTTGTTTTTACTTCTTTTTTTCTTATTGTCGTTGTATTGTAATTGAATGAGTGTGAATAAATGAACTCGAACTTGAACATACGACTGAATGAAATAGCGACTGAACGACTTAAAGATGGATTAAAATACGGACAGGCAAATGGCCTTCCCCCTTCAAAACGCGAGACGACCGTATTTGATATTTAGACTAAGGACATACTTACCCCTCCCACTTAAGACGGCCTCTCCAGTAGAAGACTTAACGTACCTTTGGCAAACAAATCTTATGCAGTACCCGTTTCAAAAGAAATCCTTGTACTCCGAGTAACAATTTATGGTTTTTAAAACTTCTGCTTATTTCTTATTTCTAGCTCGCGAACGCTATCTGGTGAAATTTTTTTTATTATGATTATTAATTTTCTTTTAATTTTTAAGTGATTTAATTTTAGGCTGCTTAAAATTATTTTCCCCAAACCTGGGGGTTAAAATCAAATGTGACTTTTTGGGGGCTCTGGTTCTGGTTATGTATAAATACAAATACGAAAAACATTTGTTATTGGCTCTACACAGAGGGACTTACAATAAATTACAATAAGATCTAAACCTACAGTAATATTGATAATGATAAGAAACAAAAATAACCTAATAAAATTGAATCAAATATGAAGTAATTTTCTTAGAGGCACTTTTCTGATAAGAAGTATCTTGGAGAAGATTTTAACTGTGAAAGGGAGGACGAATTGCGAATGTTGCTCGGCAAAAGGTTGTACAGTCGGTTCTACCGCACTGCGAGCGCATACAGTTTCATATGCTTAAGTTTTTATGTGTGCAGCTCAGTTA